AGATTACAGCTGTTATTACTCCCATAGGCAGCTGCTCTGGGTACTGATTTCTGAATGTTTTGTACCTCAAAATTACTTATCAATTTAATCATGTCTTCCTCCCATTATACCTTATGTGTACAATAAATATGATTTTGCTATTTGCTTTCCTTCCTGATGTATCATTTTTAATGGCTAGCAGTGTATTATTAAAACACACATTGCATCAGAAGGATCTGTATTGACAATACAGTAAATGCAAAATTTAAACAACGTTTATTATACTTCCATTTTGGTCTGTTCTTAAGCAACATTTGTTCTTTAATATTAGATTCTGAAGAAACCACAGTTTGTAATTCCATTTTTCTCTAATCATTGATGTGTCATCAGAAATTCTCTCTCTTCCTTGTGTTAAAGTTCTTGTCTTTAACCAAGAATGCATTGGTAATTTTTGAATAATACTATATTAAAATTCTAATATTTGTTAAAGATATAATAGAAACAAACATAGTTGTTTTATAAAGGTAACCAGTACAAAAAACAAGATCACAAATAAAAAATGTCAAAAAATAAACAGTTTGAAATAAATAATATATTGTTGATTGGTGATCAAAAACTCTTATCTTCAATAATGAATCTACAACACATTAACACAAAAATGTGGTTTTAAGTCAATTTCTATATATTGCCAAAACACTGTAAGTGGCATGTACAGTACCTTTTAAGCACACTCTCTGACATTGTAAAAAACTCTCAACCTCATACTCAAAATTTTGCTCTCTTGAAACATTTTTTTAAACTCTCCTATAAAATTTTAGGAAATGCAAATGAGAGGTTTTGATCACCAACCAGTGATATGTCATTGTAATATATATATATATAAAAATGAATGTATGTCTGTCTGTCTGTCAATGTCCTTCATGCATTACCACACCGTTTATCCGATTACCATGAAACTTTGGGAAGTTTTTTAATACACTCCCGCGAAGGTTTCTGGCATAGTACATTTATCCTATGATAGCTGGCGCAAGTGTATATGAACATTTCATTGTGAGTTCGATCAATTTCAAATTGTGAAGACCTTTTTCCCCCTCCAAAAAAATATCTCTATATATGCATTTGTGAACTGTTATTTACGATATTTGTAATAATTTTTGTTTAATCACTTTATTTCAACTATTTTTTACTAATTATGTATTTGCTCAAACTTTGTTAAAATCTTAACTGTATCCCGAACAACCGATATATATATATATATAATACCATAAAAGAAATTATATTATTGTGAAAATATTTTTAAAAATTGCATATACAAGTATCCCTCATATAATACAATACAGTGGGTGATTGGTTAACGAACAGTTGGAATAGCAAACAAATCAGATAACGAACACTTTCGCGAAAGATTTTTATGATCGGACAATGAACACATGTTTGAATAATGAACACTTTACTGTACAAACATAAAAAGAAGCGACAGAAAATAACAAATAATAATTGATTTTCCCTTGTGTTCAGGTAACAATTCGAAAGCTTTCGGAGTGCAGGAGACATCAACATCGACACTCAATCCTATACCAATCGGATAGTATAATATTCTTCCGAATTTTGAAACTCTCCCTTGTAATTCCAGCTTTTAGTTTACCTTTCTGACAAATAATTTTTGATAGTCTTCTGGAGACTGTTGGACGGGCACTTGTTAAGTTTTGCGTCTGGGTTTATTTACAAAAACTCCCACACCAAGATATATCCAAACGGACTGTCTCCTGAATTTGTTAACGTTTTAATACCAAATTTTGAATTTTATCCGAGCCTTGCATTTAAATAATTTTTTGTGGGCTAGTTGATTTCTGTTGTCTGAATTTTTGTAAGTGATTTTGTAAACTTTTTATTTAAAAAAGAAACTGATAATATTATGGAGCCTAAAAAGAGGAGTGTCAAGAATTGCTCACCATAGAAACCAAGTAAGAGATAATAGACAAGGTAGAAAGTGGACACAAGATATTTGATGTTGCTAGGCAGTATGACTTGAACAGGTCTACAGTAGGCACAATCTTAGCTATGAAAGATATATCATGAAGTCGTAAGCTGCTAATAAAGTAACGAAAATCACATATGAGAAATAAAGAGCATTTTAGAGCTCACAATGGAATCTGAAATTGATCTGACTACAGAAGAACTCCAAGAACACTCAAATGAAGAATACCAAGAAACTCAGCGAGATGTGTTTTCTTTTGAAAAAGAGGAAGACGAAAGAGGACCAATGTCAACATCTGCTACTAAAGATTTTTTGAAGAAATGGGAGGATATCAGAACAATGATCATCCAAGTGGCATCCAAACCAGAATANTAACAATTCGAAACCTTTCAGAGCACAGGAGACGTCAACTTCGATGCTCAACCCAATACTGATCGGATAGTATCCCTCCGAATTTTGAAACTCTCCCTTGTAATTCCAGCTTTTTATTTACCTTTCTGACAAATAATTTTTTATATTCTTTGCAAGACTGTCAGACGGGCACTTGTTAAGTTTTGCATCAGGGTTTTACAAAAGGTGAAAGTTTAACTGTCCCACCAGATATTCATTAATGTTTTAATACCAAATTTCAAATTTCATCCGGGCCTTGCATTTAAATAATTTTTTGTGGGCTAGTTGATTTCTGTTCTCTGCATTTTTGTAAGTGCTTTTCTGAAATTTTTATTTAAAAAAGAAACTGATAATATTATGGAGCCTAAAAAGAGGAGTGTCAAGAATTGCTCACCGTAGAAACCAAGTAAGAGATAATAGCCAAGGTAGAAAGTGGGCACAAGATGTCTGATGTTGCTAAGCAGTAGTATGGCTTGAACAGGTCTACAGTAGGCATAATCTTAGCTATGAAAGCTATATCTAGCGACGATGGAGGAGGGGCACACGAGCAATTACTTTCTCGTCCATTTCCAAACTGAGCCAGTGCGTATGCTCCACTAAATGCTCGTCTAACGCCTGGTGTGTACGCTGCTAACGCGCGTTTAATGCAACGCAAAACGCCTAGTGTGTACACAGCCTAAGACTTTATTAAACATGATCTGCACAAAACTCATTGACTCAGGAATCCCAAAGAAGTTATGGAGAGAAGCATTAACTCAGCCTACAAACTAAATAGTTCTCCAACAATGCTCTTCAGAAAAAGAAAACGCCATCATTTCTCTGGCATAGATGGAATAATCTCAGCCAGCTGAAAATATTTGGATATCCAGCATGGCACATCCTACCAAAGCAAAATAAACTAGAACCCGGAGCAAAATGTTATGGTGATCCCATTGTATAAATTATATCCTTTTTTTTCAGAAATATCCCTAGACATTTTTGAGGTGTGCATTTATAATAATGAGATGTAGCATGAGTTTTGTAAATTAAGATAAAAATATTAATATAATTTTATAAGTTATAGAATTGTTATTGATGTTTCTTTTAGAATAATTTCTACACTTGTTTTTCTTGACATATTACATAGATGTTGAAGATGAGATGAAACACAAAAAATAAAACTACAATGTTTTCCAATTCTTAAGGAAAGGCAGAATTTTGTTCTTAACAAAGATTAAAGAAATAAATCAAATGTTATAAGTATTATATTACTCTATAACTATCCTTATTTATATAAGAACAGAATTAAGAAATTTTGGATCTAATTTAAATTTTCAAAAATAATGAGCTTATTTTGTTCCTTACAACTGTTTTTAATAATTGTGCAAATTTTAAGTTTATTAAGTGAAAAATGTTACACATACATTAAAAGGAATGTGCTCAACAAAATAATAATTAATAACCAAACACCTTTATCTTGCCAAGAAAATTTAATTAAAACAAACGTTTTTGACCTATTCCATAGGACATCATCAGGTTTAAAACGGACAATTGGATTTTGTGGAACAAAATCTTCCAATAAAGGTAAAGGTGTTTGGTTATTAGTTACACATACAATAATTTAGCAGTTTAGGAAAAAAGAAATCCATACAAATTGTTAAAAATGAACTGTTTTATTAACCAAATACACGATACATAACATAAGGCACACAAACAATTTGTTCTCTGCACATAACATATTATATACAACTATACTGTCCAATAAGTAATGTTACAAAGATACTACAAATTGTCAAATGGCATTTAGTAAAAAGACAATGTATCATGTAAAGTTTTAACAGTGAAACTTGTAAATAAAATTAGTTAAAAGATAAATTCTTGATATTTTCTGTAGATTAAAATGAAATGAATGACAGGATAAAAAAAATATAACAAATTAAAATACTTTATCTTTTAACTAATTTTATTTCATGGCTTCAGTTTAAAATAAGTAAAAAAAATTGTCAAAAATCCATATACATATATATGCTGAAGACACATTTAAATGGTTATAATTCTTAGAACATAATATCAATTTAAGATCATAAATAATCTATACAATGATTTACATCACTGTTTTTCGTAAGTATTTAATATTACAATTTGTTTAGCTCAACAAAAATCATCACGACATCAGCTGGGCATTTTCAGCTTCAAGCAAGGCACAAGTCACACACTATAAAAAAGTGTTTTTTTTCCCTTTTTTATTTATGAGAAACATTTTTTCAACATAAATATATCTAGCATGATTGATACTGTTTGTAGCAATGAGGAATGTTATTTACAAATAGGTATTAAAATGTCTGCCATACTGCTATCACACAGCAAATCAATCCTTTGTCCGATACTGTGTCGAAGCTATCTCTTGTGGCTAATCTTCCGCGAAGTTTTGATTGAGACTTGTTTCTTTTCTTAGAAGAAACAAGTTAATAAAAGTTACAGCTATGTCACATTCAATAAATTTGGCACTGCAATAATTAATACCATTGCCAAATTATTAGCACTGTATAGCAATTATTAATTCCTACACAAATGTAGGCTTGAAATACTTAAAAAATGTAATTATAACATAGTCTATAATGAATACTGGTTTCTGTATCAGTGAAATCACTNTATAAATATATACTTTACATACCAAATGGTGTATTTGTTGGTGTAGCTGTGTGTGACAAAATCTTCCGTTCTCCACTTTGATGACTCTCTTGAACAGCAGTTAATACTTGAGCAATCCCTTCTTGAACATCAGACTAATCAATACATGAAATTGCTTTCAATTTTCTGATAAACTAATATTAACTTCTAAATATTAAAATAAACTAACTTGTTTTTTAATATTCTTTTCATCTATTTGTTCTGCTGTTTTTTGCCCATTCATTTCTTTTACTTTATCTAAATTTGGATCTGCAATAACTTCAATATTACACCACAAACGATGGCCAAATCCATGTCCTTTATGATATAAACGCCAATGACTTTGATAGTTTCCAGGTTTGCTAGGTGCAATGAATAATACTGTAATAGTTCCTTCTTGTCCTGGTTGTAAATGAGGTACACTAACTTCTGATTTATAAGGAACAAGATCTCTAGATCCCCAACAATATTTCAACTAAAAATAATTAAAACATTAGTGTAACATATCATACAAAAAATAAAATGAAGACAATATTCAAATATTTTAATCACCGTAGTGTGAGATGTAAATGGTTTACAACCAGAGTTACGAATCCGCCAGTGTTTAACAAACTGAGAATTACAGATTATATAAGTACCATCTGGTATGGTTTCATCTCTAATAAACTGGACATCACGTAATCTGAAAATAATCAGTTATGTTAGACTTTAAAACCATATGATTAATAATAAATAGTTTACAAATAAAATGTATTAGGCAGATAATATTACATTACACATCTATTAAATTTAAAAATTTTGTGATTTTTAAAGTTATTTGTTACATTTTCAAACTGTATTAGAGTGAAACTGTGTTATATGAGGGATACCTGTATTTTAAATTTTTTAATGGACTTATCATGTCAGATCATCTCTGCCTCTATGTTCTGGCCAGAACTATATGTGATTCCAGTTGCTTATATATCTTCTGTTGTTTAAACCTGTCCAAAGAACATTTTTTTATTGCATTATATTTTCAATTGGGAGACTTGAGGATGCAGTGCATCTACAATTTTATAAATATAAACAACCATGTAAGAAATTGTGCCGTTTCAACAATGATGGTTGGGTTTTGGGCTATACATACTTTATTTTTTTTTTGTTTGGGTTGGCAGTACTTTAGAGAGGGAAGGAGTATTTAAGGAATTGTGGATTGGCTGCAGGGGTCTTTTTCCTTTGTATGTGGTTCAGATGTTATGAGAAACTGTGTTGTGAAGTGGAAGCGGTATCTAGACAGACAGATAATATCAGACTATTATTGAAACAATTGGTTTGCATAAGCAGAATTGTTAACTAAAGGATTGAACATTTGTTGGGTTTCAACCAATTGTTGGTAAGGAACATTTACTGAAAATTAGTTTATACGTATCTTGGTTGGCCGAAAGGACTTGTATTATATAAAACTCATTATATGGATGAGCCTGTATAGTTTGTAAGTGACTGTATATGTGTCCTGTGAACAACTATGTAAATTTTGTATATCTTGACATTCTCCGTGTACATAAACTTAGTGTTAAGTTGGCATTCCTTTGTCTTCCTTCCCACTTGGTAATCTTTCACGTTCACAATCCAAAAACTTAGTGTAAATAAAGATATTAGAATGTTGAGCCTGGATATAAAAAATATGTATCCTTCTATCCATAAAAAGTTTATAATAGGTACATTACATAGTGTAAAAAAAATGTAACAACTGGATAACTCAATTTGTCAAATTTGTTTCAGTAAGTAATTATTTTATTTGTAATAGTTAATTGTTTTAAACAATTTAGAAGGCATCTTTATGGGCTTTTGCATTAGTCCAAAACTTGCTGAACTTTGTATGATAAAAATTGACAACATTATTAAAAACTTTTACAGTGTAATTTTTTACAATCATTATGTTGATGACTGCTTTGTTGTTTATAACATAAAATTAACCAACCCACAAATTATACTTCCATATGCCAATAATATCCAGAACAATAAATGTTTTGAAATAGAAAATGAAAATAATGGCATGTTAAACTTTTTACATATCACAATTCAAAGATATGATAATTTTATCACTTTTAAAAAATACATTGAACCATGTGACATTGGAAAAGTCATCAATTTCTATTCCAGCACACCTAAATACCATATTTACTTGCATATAAGGGGAGGTTTTTATCCATTTTTCACTGCTTCAAAAACCTAGGTCATCCTATATATACAAGCAAAGGATTCTTTTCGTTTTTGTATAATTTTTGTAAACTATGTATTCGCATATTTTACCAGATTCTCACCTTCTGGTATTTAAAAACAAAAGTATTTTATCTGGATCATTTGAATCCTTCTTGTGTATTGTCAGGAATAAAGATGAATAGCAATAGAAAAAGCAAAGCTTTTGAATTGAATTCCAGATTGAAATTCCAAAATCACACAGGAGCCTGATATAAGTTTTAATTCATTCCTACATAAAACATATGATTATTTGGAAATTTGAAGAATCTCATAAGTGTAATCGACAAAGAGTGAATTAGACTGTTAAGAATTGGCAAAAAAGGTTCTCGATTGTCCAACTATACATGAACAAATTATATTGCTGATTTTACAAGATTTTTCCTTGAAGTTTAAAATGCCAGTAATTTTTCAGGACAATGTGAGCATTTATGTGCATTTGATATTTTATTTGATATTTGATATTTTATTTGTTATTAAATAAAATAAAATTAGAATTGTATTAATAAATCTAATTTTCTTTATTTTGATTTTTAAAGTCACACCTCATCCTATATGCAAGATCATCTTATATTAGAGTAAATACAGTATATAAAAAAGAACATATTCAAATATGTATATAAACAAAATTATGTACAAGTGATATAACAGATCAAAACATAGAAATTGCGCATATATACCACATTTTTCAAATTAAATAACTACCCAACAAAATTATTAATAAACAGCTATATAATGACACAATAAAACAACCAAATGCCTAAAACACAAATAATTTATAGAAAACTAAATTATACCCCAATAATTTTTGAAAACATCCAAAACATATTAACACCATATAATATCATTCTAGTCCCTACACTGAATAATGAAATCAAAAATTCTTAAAAATCAAAGAATCAATTAATAGTAAAATAGATGTAACTTGTTAAATAATAATTTGGTTTACAGCTTCACTTGCACTTGTCAATGAAAATATTATTACATAGGCGAGATGAGTAGAATGTTAAAAATTAGAATAAGGCTGTGAAGTATAATTACATCAACTCAGCAGCCACCACAAACTGCAATCATGCCAGTTGCATAATCTCACTTGACAGCATCAAAATTCTTAAAAAAGAAAATTTATTATTAAAAGAAAATTTTTTGAACATATTAAAATTATTAAAATAAACAAAATTCATAGAATGGATTTAAACATAGGCACTGTCATCAGTGAGATCTGGCAACTATTACTCCCAAAATAAAAGGAGTCTATTTTAAGATGTTCTTCCTTCTCCACCCCATTTTAATCCACTGTATTATACAAAATTTATCAGACTTCCTGATAAACATACAGTGAAAGCTTTTACACCTTGCTTATAACCAGTTTTTATTTGTTTTTATTGGTTTTAAGGATTTTATGTTTTTACTACTTTTATTATTCAAATTTTTTATACATTTTATCCAAAATGTTTTTATTTTTACAGGTATACCCTTGTATTATTTTTAACATTTTATTACATTTATTTATTTACTTATTTTTTAATTTATTTCAGTTTTACTTATTTTATCCCACAGTTTTAATAATTAGTTATTCCAGCTGTCATTATAATTTCTTTTAGGTAATTATATTTTGAAAATTTTTTGTATGCATATGTTAAATATAATTTAATACATTCTGTAATTTCTTACATATTTTATTATGTATATTGGTAAAAACTAAGAATTGAAGGGGCATAGAGCCCAAAATGCATATCCATTCTAAATTATAGAAAATAAATCTACATTTTCCATCAAAGGAAGTGTTCCTGTATAATTTGTTCTCAATAGCAATTTTATACTAAGTTCTGAAGGACATATTTTTTGTTTTAAATTCATTTTAATACTTCAGGATTTGTTATAGGAGATGGAAATCAAATATTTTTAAGCAATACCTGTAATAATTGGATACATAAATAATAAACAAATGTTATATCAACATAATATTTTAAATTAGACTTAAATATTCAAAACTTTATCAATTTTCAAGAACACTTTGTTTGAAATGTAATGATTCATATAAATTATAAACTGTCCAAAGTTATATCATCATAAAAAAACAATGTCCTTCCTTAATTGCTTAAATAAAAAAAATGACGACAAATCTTATTACTTAAGTTCTAAGATGAAAAAAATGTACAAAAATATCATGTAATCAAGATATCTTGATTGTGTGATAATTTCATTCAGAGAGTCCTTGCCTTTCTAGTTAGCCTTAGCTTGGCTTCTACTTGCTTTTTCTCTTACATCTTATTTTATTATTACTTTTTACAATTATGTCTAATTCTTTATTCATGATAATAAACTGGCAAAAAAAACTGTCAGCTAATTTGTAACTAGAAGCTTAAATCCACAATTTCCAACTATTGTTGATGGCATTTTCCAATTTGGACACCATGTTTTGTTTGCACTGTCATTCATTCTGGGTATTCATAAAGAAGAAAAATAAAGTGTCAAAAAAAAAGCACTTTTTGTCACTAAAATAACTGTTTGCTCTGAGGCCTGAGAGTACACACACTTCTCTCTTAATTCTGTAATATTGTGGCTTTTTTTCTTGATTAGCCTAGAAAAAATTTATCTACCCCCCTTTTTTTAAAAGTATTTCTATTCAAAATTAAGTAGATTTGAAGAATTTAAGCATCATATTTTCATAAGAAAATATTTAACTTCTTAGTTAAATATTTTAAGTATCAGACACACCTTGTGTAGGCAATTCAAATTTTATCTTAACTCCTCCTTAATGTTGCCAATTTGTGGGAAACTTCCCTTTTTGTGGGAATTTTCAATTAAATGGGAAAATGGAAAATTTTAATAAAAATTGGGAGATTTGACCTTAATTTATTTTTTGTTACCAACAAATAGAAATATTAGGGATGCAGGCTGCATTAGTAATTTTTCTCTCTTTCTAATCCAGAGGATAAAACTATACATCTTAGGCATAAGTCTTTTGGTAAATGCCATTTTGGAAATTGAAGGAAAATTGTTATTTAATAAATTGCAATTTCATTTCACTTCTTTAATATTAAATTTTAGGTGAAATGAATTATAGCTCAGATTCTGATTCCTCAACTAAATTAAAAAGACTTTAAAAAATGAGCTTCTCAAAGAGATGCAGTTTTTAGATTTACAAATTTCTCTAATTAAAGACTTATTTTAAAGATTCATCAATATTCAAAATGTTGGTTTAGAGTGAAGAAATTTAAAACTATTAGAAGATAAATTTATTAAAAGCTTTAACTTTTTGAAGAGTTATGGAACAAAATGGAAATATAAAGGATTTTGATAACAAACCAGGTTTCAAACATAAATTAGCTGTTTTTATTTTAGTGTTTCCACATACAAATTCCAAAGTAGGAAGGACTTTTTCTATTGTAAATGATGTGAAAATAAAAAAACAAAAAACAATGTAATCAGATAGGTGTACTGTAATTATCCATTTAATTTATTCACATATCTGAACAAATGGATTTTATAGAATGGTTTAAACTAGGTACATTTGAGGGGAACGCACTGTACTTTGTTGGTCAATAATAGAAAATTGCATTTTGCACATCATTTAGTATGTCATTCTTTATTTTCATGATAATGGCAACAATAAGTTCATTTTGAATTTTTAAGCACATATTTTATACTGTAGGCTTTATAGCCAAAGTCAAAACAATATTAATTAATCAATCTAACACTTTTCTCCAATAATCTTCTTCAATTTGTTTTTCATAAAATTCATTTATAGTTCCATGCTTTTTAAAGTTCAAAAACCAAAAAAAAAAAAACTTTGCTTATGTGCAGAATTAACTTTATTTCTTTAAATTTCTCTACTTAGATTGTGCCAATATCATTGCAAACATTCATTCAATCTGTAAATTTATCTTCAAATAACCAGCAGAGTTTACAATAGCATTTTTTTCATTTTTTAAATAAAGTTGAATAGCAAAGCCACAATCTTAAAATCTTAAATCCAGATTTCTTTTTGTGATAGAAGAAAACATAAAAAAGCTTTATCTTTGGTCTCATTATTGAACTTCAATTTACAATTTGCAAACATACATTCCCACTGTCATTTGTCTGTCTGTCCATACATCCTTTGTTAATCTTCAGAATGGAGTTAATGGTTGAAAATTGAGACCTGATGCAGAGAGCTTAGGGACTAGAGATCCTGAATAACTGTATAAACTTCCAGTCTAGATCAGAAGTCAGGTGATTTCAATTGAAAAGTTTCTTGAAAAGTGAGTTATTGATAGATACATGAAAATCAAGACCAGATACAGAAAGCTTCTTTTTCAATTAAAATATGATTAAAAATTACAGTCTGGCATTGTAACAATATCACAAGTAATTGCTTGTTTTTATTTTCTTTTAAAATTTCATCATCATCATCATTTTAGTTCTTATCTGCAAGTTTGCTGCAAGCTCTCTCATTATTTTCATTTTCAACTTTATCTTCACTTTTTGAATTACATTTGTTCTTATTTGTAAAACTTGTTACAAGTATGTTGCTCCTTTGGTTGAAAAAAGAAGTCAGTTTTAGTAATTTTGAAACTTTCTCATTGTCCTCTCTTTCAATTTTATACTTTTGCATTTAGATGTTTTTTTCTTGTTCAATGTTTTTTCAATTTAACACTTTTAGAATAAAAATTATTAGTTAAATGTCTATTACTAATCTGTAAATAATATTAAACTTTCTTAAATACTACTAAGCAATATTTTATATTGTTGATCTCAATTTAATAACAATAATTTTAAGTCCTCACATTTACAATTTAAGTCCTCAAACATGTAAAGAGCTTACTGGACCCTGTTGGTCCAGTAAGCTCTTTACATGTTTGGGTCTGGAGACAAGTAACTTCCTGTCTCACAATTACACAAATGTGCATTATTTAATCAATTTATATATAATATAATTTGATCTTTCAAAATATTATTTTATGTAAATGTTATTTCAAAAGAATGAGGTCAAATATTAAACTAAAAAAATCTAATAATTAGAAAACATTATTATGTGACATCAGACTTATTTCAAATTTTGCAACCATAGAGAAACGAGGAAGGAGGAAAATTATAGCAGTCTATTTTAGATGTTGAATGCTTATTATTAATAACAAAAAAAAAAAAATGTTCAAAATAAATATTTTTAACCAAATACCAATGCTGTGAAATTTAATAAATATAAATTTACATACCAATATATTAGCTAAATCTGATTAATTTTGATTAAATCAAACCTGATGTTATCTTCCTTAAAACATGCATTTAATTAAATTAAAGTTTAAAAAAACACACACACATACAATTTGAATCTTCTTATAAATTTAGATAATTCAAAGTTAGTATATCTCATATTTTGAAAATGAAACATAATCTGAGAAACTGGCATGTAGTCAACTGATTTATAGAATGGATGCAATCTGGAGATTCCCTGAAAAGTACATGTTCTTTAATTAAACTCACAGAACATAGATAAAATTATCACTCTTTATAGTTTTAGTGACATTTGGGTCTGCATAGTACAGTTGTTTAGCTATGTTTTTAAAACATGGTGATGAGCATGTGATGAGCATGGAACAAACACAAGTTTATTGAAATAACCTGTAGGTTATCTGCATATAATTCTGATAAGCTAAAAAATGTTTACAACTAAAATAAGATTAATTTTAATATAATAACTATTTTAAAAATTAGAATTATAGAAGAAGCAATATAGCAGCAATGGAATGGAAAATCATTTCAGAAATTAAGTAACATCATATATACAATTGTTTATTAACAATTTCACTTTACAATACACAGATTTATAGAACAAATTGATACATGATATTTTCACTAATTGTTGTATCAATCTAATTATCAGTGTATGTATATTTATTACTATTATTATCTGGTTTGTTTATAGCCTTTTTTTCTCAATATAAATAGATCATAAATATTTTTATTAACCATTATAAAAAGTACACATTTGATCTTGATAAAAAATTAGATGACTCTCTCTCAAATTCATGTTGAGATAGAATAAATGTATCAATAACAAAATTGATCTGTACATTCAGCATAAAAATCACAAAATGAATATTTTCTGAATAATACCAAAGACAGATTTTCTATATCTTTATTTCCTTTGATATACAGGTAATGTTTATTAACAAACCATTAAAACTTAATTCTGATAATACATTTTTCATGGATTAAATAGTCTTGTCTTAATAGATTTCATATGAATTTTATAAAACTGATAACTTAATTTTAAATAAGCATTAATAAAAATGGAAAAAGATGACATTATAATAATAAAGGTAAAATATTAATTTTGTTCAAATTTTTAATATTTTATCCATTTATATGGGTATAATATCTAATCAATCTGATAATATACTTATAATCTTCAGTATCTTTTCTATTGATAGGCTGTCCTTTCTCATCTCAATTTTAATCTTCTTAACATAAATTATTTTTGAAGTGTTTTTAACATTAAATTAAAACTTATCTATCATTTAAAATTTATAAATAAAATAATTTTTTAATTGTTTCTCATAAATAATAAATTTATAATTAATTTATTCAACTTTTCTAATTCAAACAGAAATTAACAAAATATTAATATAAAATATTTAAAACATACTCAGCACAATTTAAATCAGAATGACAATATTTTGATCTTGATTCTATCTTAGTAGTAGCAGGTGCTTGTTCCCAAGTTATATTAGCTCCACTAATTCTTGAATTGTTGTAAGACTGTTCTTTAGCTCTAAATTAAAAATTATAAAATTTCATTAACAATCATTTTATGTTATATAGAATACATAGCTGTGAACAAATAAAAAAATAAATACTGAATAAAAAAAGTACTTCACACACACACACACACACACACACACAAAAATATATATATATTTTTTTCTAGCATTTTCAACTAAACAATATGAAATGAAATAATAAAATAAATAAATGAATAATAATTATACAGTAGGTAATGAATTAATTATACATAAGAATATTATAATGCTTTACACCACAGTAATTCAAAACAAAAAACTCTACATTTTACTGATATTTAAACTACTGATTTGTGAAATTCATGATTAAAACTGCATAACAAAAAGCTTAAAGGCTAACAATCCAATAACTCCATGTATTCATAATTATAAAATAAAAAATATAGAAAAATAGGCTTTATATAGATATATCACTTAATTTTTTACTTCATTATTTCTTTATATGATATCTGAATTAATAAATGTATATTGATATTTAGTTTTAATAGCTTGAACTGGCTTTGATGTAAACATTAACATTTAAATTACTTTGCTTTCTTCATTCTAAAGTTCAACTGACTGTAATGTGCACTTGATTTGAGCAATCTAAACCTGACAAAAGATAGCCAAAAAATGTAATACATGCCCTATATCAAAAACACAGCCACAAAAGTTAATGTATTTAAACCACAATTAAATGAATATTTTGAAAAGTATTTTATTTTCATGTTTGCAGTGGTTCACAATGCCCTGATAATGGACTCATTTATGACTCCATTATCAGGGTCTGTGGACCAAAATGAAATCACATTCAAAATTACCATATGATCAATGTTTTAACAGTGAGATTTCATGTCATTGTGCACAAGCATGAAATTTACCAGACACTTAGTATCATACTGAAATATTTGCATAAATGTTCTTCAGCATAGTGAATAACTCTGCTTAAGAACAACTTTATAGAAGATTCATCTGCTGAACATCACTCACTTGGGTTGCTGTATTTCAAAAGATCATCAAACTGTTCCAAAACCAAAACTAAAGTAGCAGGTGAGATATGCACTATGTTTATAGCAATATCATATATAATATATGCAAATTGACAAACAGAATGAAGAGCAAACAACAAACAAAACTGCATTAAATCAATTATTTACCCAATTCTAATGTGCACCAAACTTTTGAGACCAGAAAAGTCCAAAGAAAGGTGTGCATTAGAATTAAGAAAACACAGTAATATTTATCTTGAATCAATACAATCCAACTGTTGTAAATGTAACTAACAATAGTAATTAATCATCATAAAATTATTTAAATTACTCTTCTAATTGATATTGATTAATAATATGTCTGTAAATACTTTATGAAAGTTTGTTTTATTTAAGAAAAGTAATATGATGATTAATTAAAAGAATTCTTATCTAATTTTATACATTTTTAAAAAAATGCTGTAATTTACTGATTTTTATATTACATTTATTTATTATGAATATCTAATGATAAATTATGAATAAAAAACAAAATATGAAACAGAAAAGTGTTTTCATGTCATTTTTGTCATTTGTAAAATGATCAACCATTCTTTTGAATAAACAAAATTGTAAGTTAGAAAATAAAATTATATACTGTAATTCAAAATACCATAATTTACTTTTATATACTTAAAACATTTGCTAAACAAAGTAACTTACCTACTCAAAATCTTTAGGAGGTTGCAGTATAATGGTTATTTTTCAGTATGATTAATATGATTCTGCTTCAAACAAATTTATTAATTGATCAGATCACATTTTCCAAATACAGTAGACCCCCCTATAACACAGTAGATAATTCCGTGTTATATGAATTCCATGTTGTATGAGTCACTTAGATTTTACAAATATGTGAGCCGTTAACAGCCCAGCACACTTATTTGTAAAATCTAAGTGACTTGTACAACATGGAATTATCTACCATGTTATAGGGGGGTCTACTGTAAAACCAATTTTACTAGTGTTATTTCTTTAAAACACTGTGTATATAGTTTATTTTTGTGTATTAAAGTTTCAAATAATTATTTTTCACAAAATATAAAAAACAAACTAATTAAAAACTGAAAAATGTTTCAAAAACTAAATATATTAAGATTTAAATAGATATTCACTTATTAACTACTGCTTCAGATTAAAATTTTTGCAATCTACATAGTGCTGCTTCTTTCAATGGTTATTCATTTTTTTGTGAATATAATTGAAAAAAAATTCAAATGAATTAAGTTTCATTGACAGTTGAAACATTAAACTATTTTCTTAGCTTCTTGTCTATTGAAACTATCTTGCAGCAAATTTTATAACTAATTTAAAATTACTTACTAAAATCAGTTTAAAATTGAAAAACTGTTTTTAAATCAAACATAAGAGTAAATATAATTAGTATTAACATTATTATTGAAAAAAAGTATATTTTTTAGAACAAGATTGCAAATTTTACATTTAGATTCTATCAATTACATTTAAGCTAAATTTTGTGTGTGAATGTTTTTTTTTTGTTAAACTAATTTCTGTAAATCTTTGAAAAGTTTATCTCCATAAAAAATTATTTCATATGTTCTAAAATTATATACATTTTAAAGAATCAGAAGTTGATTTTATTGGTTGTTCCTTGTACAAGTTTTAATTAAATTAATTAAATAAAATATTAATTTTTGAAATTATTTTATGTTTAACTTGTAACAAAAATAAATTTGCCTTTTATTCTGTTCAGCAATAAAAACGTGGAAGCTAAGGCAAATACCTGCTATTCTGAAATGTGTTAAAAATTTTTCAGGATTGTTTGGCCAGTTATGCTGAGTCTGGTCCATTCCTCACTATGCAGCCATTCCACTGTAAACTTGACTGATCCCATGATGGGAATGATAGAAAAAAACTCTTCTAAAGTTCATAGAGTAGACAGTAATTAAAAGCGGTCAATAATCAGACATTTGAAATATAATAGAGCATCAATTATCCAAATGCTGATCAACAAAAACATCGGTTAACCAAAAGCATTCCAGTCAGACTGTCGTGCTGAATCGAACGTTTTTGATACTAGATTAACTTCTAAAGTATAATTTTTTTTTGTTTTATATTTTTCAATCATCTAGTTTGTTTTTAATTTTTTACTAGTGGAGCCTGCAGATAAGCAAGATTATAATGAAGCTGAAAACTCATTGCTCTTATTTGCCATAAAGTGAATTTTGACAACCAAAACTAATTATACACATTTAAAATTACCCTAGCTAACGTAAAATATTTTTTTTTGTTTTATATTATTTCATCATCTAGTTTGTTTTTAATTTTTTACTAGTGGAGCCTGCAGATAAGCAAGATTATAATGAAGCTGAAAATTTTGTACCATGTTTAGATACATTATTTATCATTGTGTTACAATTATTATACAGTAGGCTATATGAGCAGTAGACTATACTTTATAAGATTTGTTTAAGTATATTCTATGGTGTTTGCTTAATGGTGTATTTCTCGGAATGTATTCCCGTCGTTAAGGGCTCAAACCTGTATTAATATAAGTCCAGAAAGTGTACACTTTACCGTCAGTGTGGCGTTTTCAGTTTTGCTATGAACAAGTTTAAAAATGACGTCAAGTTGACGTAAAAATGTACACTTTCTGGAAGCCTTATTCATGTGGTCATATAAATGTATTGATAAATATAGAGTTTAGTATCAATATTTTAACTTATCTAAAATAATGAATATATTTCTTAGTAGTTCTTTCAAGAATCTTTATTTAACAAAATACATACTTCATATTCTTCTATAAATAATGATTATATACAAAAAACAAAAGTTGTANTTAGTTATTCCAGCTGTCATTATAATTTCTTTTAGGTAATTATATTTTGAAAATTTTTTGTATGCATATGTTAAATATAATTTAATACATTCTGTAATTTCTTACATATTTTATTATGTATATTGGTAAAAACTAAGAATTGAAGGGGCATAGAGCCCAAAATGCATATCCATTCTAAATTATAGAAAATAAATCTACATTTTCCATCAAAGGAAGTGTTCCTGTATAATTTGTTCTCAATAGCAATTTTATACTAAGTTCTGAAGGACATATTTTTTGTTTTAAATTCATTTTAATACTTCAGGATTTGTTATAGGAGATGGAAATCAAATATTTTTAAGCAATACCTGTAATAATTGGATACATAAATAATAAACAAATGTTATATCAACATAATATTTTAAATTAGACTTAAATATTCAAAACTTTATCAATTTTCAAGAACACTTTGTTTGAAATGTAATGATTCATATAAATTATAAACTGTCCAAAGTTATATCATCATAAAAAAACAATGTCCTTCCTTAATTGCTTAAATAAAAAAAATGACGACAAATCTTATTACTTAAGTTCTAAGATGAAAAAAATGTACAAAAATATCATGTAATCAAGATATCTTGATTGTGTGATAATTTCATTCAGAGAGTCCTTGCCTTTCTAGTTAGCCTTAGCTTGGCTTCTACTTGCTTTTTCTCTTACATCTTATTTTATTATTACTTTTTACAATTATGTCTAATTCTTTATTCATGATAATAAACTGGCAAAAAAAACTGTCAGCTAATTTGTAACTAGAAGCTTAAATCCACAATTTCCAACTATTGTTGATGGCATTTTCCAATTTGGACACCATGTTTTGTTTGCACTGTCATTCATTCTGGGTATTCATAAAGAAGAAAAATAAAGTGTCAAAAAAAAAGCACTTTTTGTCACTAAAATAACTGTTTGCTCTGAGGCCTGAGAGTACACACACTTCTCTCTTAATTCTGTAATATTGTGGCTTTTTTTCTTGATTAGCCTAGAAAAAATTTATCTACCCCCCTTTTTTTTAAAAGTATTTCTATTCAAAATTAAGTAGATTTGAAGAATTTAAGCATCATATTTTCATAAGAAAATATTTAACTTCTTAGTTAAATATTTTAAGTATCAGACACACCTTGTGTAGGCA